TCTGAGAACTTAACCGGCAAACGGAAATAATAAATAAAGAAAGAAAGTAATGGTTCGGTTCGCGCGACGTATCGCGCGCTGCTCCAATATTCGGTCGACTCTCCGGTAATTTGAGCCGCCATGAATCACCACTTTATGGGAGATATTGCAGAAGAATCTTGGTTTGCATGCTTATAAAATCCAACATGTCCAATATAATTGGCCGAACGACCATAAAGCGCGTCGCACATTCGGTGAATGGTTCCGAAACGCGATGGTTACCGATTTCGATTTTCGTAAAAAAATGTTGTTCAGCGATGACTCAGCACTTTTTTGGTTGAATGGGTACGTTAATAAGCAAAATTGTCGCATTTGGAGTGATAATAATAATTCACAAACCATTGCTTGTTCTCCGTTAATTCCTCAAAACGTCACTGCTTGGTGTGCTCCATGGGAAGTGTGATTAATTGGTACATATTTCTTCGAAAACTAGGCCGGCCAAAGTGGTGAATAACATTAAATTATATGCGTTTTATTTATTCCTGAAAACCACAAGTCTAAAAACAACACGCTTATTAAAGTTTTTTATCTCGATTTTGATCATTCAATTTGTATGGCTACTCTATAGTGGTCGTATATCGGCGGTCTTATATACACGGTTCCGGTGGATTGGATTCTCGCCATGCCGTTCATCTACAGCCATTTTTTAATAACTTTACCAAAATAAACGCGTCATAATTTTCAATAAATTCATTATTTTAAGTGACGTTTTGAAAATAAATGGAGAATAGTAGAATTAACCACGAAAATTTAATAAATAATGTTTAATGTTTTTATGTGGACACGTGATCCTTAGTATAAATTAATGTCACGTAATCGCAACATAATTTCACCTAATAATTAATATTTGGTGGACTAAAAATTTTTAGGCGCCTCAAAATATTTACGTTCACCACTTTAATTCTTATAATATAAATAAATATCTTATGCGCATCTGAATCCGAACTAAGCTCTACCTTACCAGTTTTCTTACAATTTTAATGTCAAACACGAAATCAAGCTGCAATTATTATAAATTTTGCCAGAGCAGAAGCTTAACACACCCCTACATCCGTTCATGCAAATCAAAGCGCTTCCCACAACACACAGAAGCCAAATTTATTGTTATTACAGCTACATGGTTAAGTTTACAACAATTTAATTTCTAAAATACAGTAAAGTACCCACACAACAAAGCAGATTTGTTGACACGCCGAAGCATTAAGTAAACAAATTGCTCATTTGCATAATAAAACCACAGCGGCACGTAACGGTAAGGTCAAGCGGGAGACTTTAAAATAGATGGCTGCATTTTATTTTATATGGGTGAGTATGTGTGTAATAATGGTTATTTATTGGTGTATGAGTTGTGGGGAAAACAATTACACTATAGATCCAGAGAATATTGAAGGCAACAGAGAGAGAAAGAGAAGCATCAAAAGAGAAAAATACGGATAAGTACTTACAAGTATATATACAAAGAAAAGTAAAAAAATTCAATATTTTTTCCAAAAAATGTAACGTTATAATAGAAAAATCTTCGCTTTCATCGCTTGTTCGATATTCAATTACACACATAAATACCTAATCGGATAAACGCTTACAGCAAACCGCATAAATTCTTATTTTGCAGCCGAAATGCACACCAACACATACACATATAAATGTAACGACTGCAGTCCTACACACTTTTGTTAATGGCTAAAAAGCACGCAGATCAACAATATAAATGCCAGCAAGCACATACAAATATTTATGTAGTAAATGTAGTGGTTTTTGTCATAGAGCCACTCATAGAACTCGCTTGTTTATATGTGTGTTAAAAAGCGGCGATCGATAGATTTTCCTAAGCTCAGCATACAACACTAATGATGTTGTTTACACATTTGCCTCTAAAGCGCCCACCCACGCACTTTCATGCGGTTCATTTATTTTATACGAGTGCTGTGGACAGTCACGTGCAAAACAAATACATTAACACATACACAAACACAAATATTATAAATAAATAAATATGCATATAAATGTGTGTGTGTGCTTACACATAAATAGTGACGCACAAATATAATATTAACGCTTAACGCATAAATTGCTTAGGAGGCATACTGTGGAGCAAACGGAAAATGCTTGAAATTCATAATACTGGAATTCGATTTGGATTAACATTCAGAGATTTACTTTTCTTTTTGCACGTACTGAATATTTAAATAGTCTATAAATCAATTACCTTGAGCAATACTCTTTGTTATGTGAGTATGTTATTTAATTGTAAAAGCATTTATATGTGTTTACTCAGGTGGTTAAACAGGGCGTATGAGTAACATGAAATGAATGAAAGCCGATACAGCTATGGCATTATGTATGAGTAATATTTTAGTGATATGATTCAATGAAATAGAAAACAAGTAAGGTAGGCTAAGTTCGAGTGTAGTCGAACATTTCATACTCTTGCAACTTGCAAGGTTCAAAGCCAGCCAAATACCTTCAGGTGTAGACAAAACTTCATTTTAATAACAATGCGAAAAAAATCAACATTTATTGCTCGACGAAATCGTGAATAGATAACAATCAAATTTGTTATCTTATTAACTTATATAATAGGTCATGGAAAAAATTAGTTTTATAACTAAACTTTCTGTTATCGAAAATTATATTGAAATCATCCTGAAGTGAGATATCATATACATATCTGACATAAACTTAACCGAAGAGGTTAAATTTAATATACTTGTATTGTGGTAATGTGCAAGCGGATATGAGGTTTGAACCAAGGCGTAACCCAATTCCTTTCACATTGAGCGCCAAACCACATAATTTTAAATAAAAATTGTCCACTTATCTTCATTAAAACATCACACATTTTGAGAAACCTAAAACACCCGTTTTTCTCGAAACTGTGTTTTCAAAGTCAGTTGTCAAGACTTCTCGCAAACTACTCAACCGATCTTAACGAAATTTTACACAGGTCCTCGACATAGAGCCTACAGAATATTTCTCAAAAATTTTAATCTTTTTAAAAACGTCTGCCAAAAATACAATTTTTCCTTTTATTATTTTTTTTACTCAATACCTACCAATTATAACATGTATTTTTTCTTTTTCCCTATGATGTTTCTTAAGAAGTTTTACTGTAAACGCGAAGCCACGTTTTTCCCGAAGAAATGTCGGAAATGACGTCGTAATGGCCAAGTTTTGAATATTTTCCATTGAAAATTTCACAACGTCTTTGCAAAATATTTATCTTTTGATATGAAAAAGAACATTATTGAAAATAGCACGTTTTTTGCTGGAGGAAACCCATGTAACCCCTTAAGATATTTGACATATTTGCCGATATATGCGGTATAAAGTCAGTCGGAAGTTCGAAATTCTTTTTATTAGCTATAGGAGAGCTAACAGAATTACTAATCCGATTTTACACATATTCAATATGGGCATAGTACTATTAGGAAAGGATTTTTTCCGAATTACAATCCCCCAGGTTGATCGATATTTTCCTCAAAATATTTGCGATAAGAACTGGGGTCCACATATTCGGTTGCTGGGAGCTTGAACACTTGCTATCCGATTTTGATAATTTTTGGTCATGAGGTGGCACTTCTTAAAGGCACTTTTCGTGCAAAGTTTTAACTTGTTACAATGCATTCATTTGGTGCCTGATTTGTATAGTCGAAATGGAAAGAATCAGATGCAATTTAAAAAAAACTTTGTTATATGGAAAGTAGGCGTGGTTGTAGATTTCGCCCATTTTCGCATCGTGATGTAAAAATGTCAGGAGAATATTACGTATTACATGGTTAAAATTGGTCGAGCAGGCCTCGATATAAAGGTTTGCGCCTAAATATTGACAGTGCCACGCCCATTGCCCACGTTTGATATTGGCTCTTATAAAGCTTTCTGCGAGCTTAAATACTTTAGTGGATATGTACATGAAACTAATTAAAGGGCACATCCACCTTTTCAAAATTTTTCAACCATAGATGCCCCTCCCTAATGCAATTTTTTGTACAAAATAACGGCCTTGTACCTTATTGTGGAACTTAGTTAATGGCGTTTCATGGGCGTAATAATGGTTCAATTACGCCCATCTGCAACCCTCTTGAGACGCCAGGAATCATATGTATCAAGTTTCATCTCAATTTTTGCTTAAGTTATCTCTTACACGAATAGACGTACAGACTGTCATCTGGATTTTAACTCGTTTCCGTAATCATTTCTATAGTTAGTTTTGGAAAATATAAACAACAGTTAGGCGAACATATACTCTGTAGCAACAAGTTGCGAGAGTATAAAAATCTTGCAAAGGAATTCAACATTCATTTTTCAAAGAAATCGAATAGATTACAATCAAATTTGGTCTCTTATAAATTATGTTTATTATAGATTGTCGACTCATTTAGTTTCACCAGGATTTGAGCTTAAAACCAAAGTCTACAGCAATAAAATTCAAAATCTACCCTAAGCGACATTATTTTAAATAAATCTATAGAATTAGAAATCTACAGAACTATTATTGGCTATTTTATTAAAATAGCATACACAAAATTTTAGAATTATACTGTAGTACCTATATACAATAACATACGTTATTTCTCTACATTTACTTATTATTTCCAGAAATAATATAATAATCAAAAAATATAGAATGTGCCGAATCAATTGCTCTAGAGAAAGTTCTCTTAGAGAATCTTAAACCCTATTTAAGGCAATGATTTAGCAGCAAAGTCTTTATTCCCTTCTAATGCAACCTTATCTTGCCCACCAAGTTAAATTAGGTCATAGCGCCGATCCTTGCACGGTACGCAACGCAGGCTCACACTAGAATACCAATGAACGCCGCTCCTTTGTGATATTCAAAACTGCTAAAAGTATGGATCACCAGACCCTTAAAAACCAACAACAGCGTTTTGACCCTAAATAAAATTTGTTAAGACTGCTTCTATCAATCCTCCTGCTAAGAAGTTATACAATATCACATATACATATATTTTCGAGAGTTTAATATTTTATTGTTACTTCAAAAATTATTTACATATATAATATCATAGCTTATATACAAATATAAGGTATTACAAGAATTTATCTAAATTAGCTTTCTATAAGCACTTCCTTCGTATGGCTTTTGCGGTGTCCGCACATTTCATTGTGATTGCATTTCGGATTACACGTTCCGGACAATTGAAAAGCAGTTTGAGGAAATATATCACATCAGCCACTTTCAGCTTATCTAACTGACCCTTGAGTGGGCGATCACGGTCTAGAAAAGCAGACGAGGGCTTGCCACTCAGTGTGTGCGTCGCAAGAGTTACGCGATCAAAAATGACACTTAAAAGCTGCCGCGTGGTGATTGATACTTCCGTCCAGTTGATATTCAGCAATTGTTCTTCGATTATGTATGTGCCATTTGGACCTAGTTGGAAACAATCAATAATTAATGGAGAGGATGATATATCACACGCTGCTTCCATTCTGTCGGTTGGAGTCTCTTCAGTAGCTAACACTGGCTGTATCAATGAAGAAGATGATGTCTCGGAAAGCGGGTTCCTTGTATTTGAGGTATTCGATGAATGGAAATCGTTGATTGGCTCTTCTCCAATAGCTGAGGAATATGATGTCATGAAGCACGAGTCCCCGCCATTTGAGAAATTTTTTGGGTTTAATTCGACAATTGGTTTTTCTAATACTGTTTGTTTTAACGACGGGTTCGATGCCTCGAATACCGATTGGTCCACATTTAAATTGTTGGTCGTGTCTAATACCTGCAGTGGCTCCTCTTTAATAGCTGCTGCTGTCTGCATTATCAAAGAAGATGATTTCTCAAGTATATTTAAGATATTTGATGCTTCCAAATCGTCAAGTGGCTCCGCTTTAATAGCTAGTATTCTATAATAATTGTATGGTATCTGTACCATCGGTATTTCTACTTGATTTCGTGGGTCCGCTTCAGGCACTGGCGTTATGGGTTCGTCCAATTTTAATTTTTTTAGTTCACCATCGAATATATTTTCGAATTCTTTTCGACGTTTTAATTGTCGATGTACTGTTGATAGACGGTCGTTCCGTGTTTGTTGACGACAGCATAATTGGGACAAATCATATGCTTGTATTGCTCCTTGGCCTAAACATTCTGTTGGTATAGTGTTATATGTCCGCAAATCAACGGCTATTTCAGTCGGTTGAATATTCATGCTGCTGTTCGTGGATAAGTCCACAATGGTAAGTTCTTCAAAGCTTCAGTGTTTTAGAGTCGGAAGCTGATAATATTATAAAGATGAGTGGAATTTGCGTGCGGTATTTATACTAGTCGGCCTGATGTCGAGCAGGTAGAATATAATCGCATCTTAAATTGTATTTAAGTTCTTAATGTCCTTACCTGAATTCGAAGTATTTGCATGTATGGTATCTTTCTCTGTCTCTCTTACAATTTTTTACAAATTAAACACTAAGACCTTTGTTGAATGTAAAGATTATGCACTGGCCTCTCGTTCATTATCATCCTTTTATCTGACTAAGGAGCTGTGTTCAAGTTAGTTAAAAAGTCCACTGTTAAAAGAAAGCTTTGCCGGTCTTAGGCATAATTACTTACCACTCGAAGCATAATAGAGGTAAATTTTTAGTATTTATGGCAACAGTGTATTCAGATAATTATTTTCACCGTTCAACTTTACACAGATCGCGTGGAGACAAGTAACAATAAGTACACTTGCTCTTAAGTGTAAGCATTACAAATATTTGGGAAAGTCTGTAAGTCAATAATTAAAATTATGCAAAGTCCAATATTTTCACTTTAATGTAGAATGTGTGTGTGCCACAGACAGCGTTTGGGGTTGAGCTTGTTATGCACTGCGTGTTTAGGAAGGTCTTCACAAATAAAGATAATTTTGTTACCCCTTTGATTTAAGTCAAGGCCAGTCAAGCAACATAAAATGGTCTAACTTAGCCAATTTATTTTTAAAGTAAGTAAAAATCATCCCAGCCCAGGTTCTCGGCGAGCGAAGATGATTCCAGGAACTGCTGCTTTTCGCAACATGTTCTTGCCAACAAATTCTTCTAAATATGTAATCTTGCATAGTTCTCTGCATAGGTTTATATAGGTGTAGTTTTTATTGATAGCTACTACAATATATTTGGTGGAAATATCTGAAGCAAGTCACCACCGTAAAAATTTAATTTTCTCAAAATATGCACAAACATAATTTTGAATAAATATGACGTCCACACCGATACACCGATCCAGCGAATTGTGCTACAAAAATGAGGAGAAACCGAAAAAACCACGACAAGCCACTAACAGTTCTTCTTGGATAGACGCCGGTGGGCTGTGATGCCCAGAACTCCCAGGTATGGATCGAAAAAACCGTCGCATATCTACAAAGCGCCCAGAGCCAGCTACAAATTTTTTGAGCCGGCTAATAAATACTTCAGTCAATTCGTCGGGAGCGTTGAAAGTTTGTCGACCGAGATGCTTCAACTTAAGTCTGACGAAGACGGACAGTGGAGGAGAAAATGTTTAAATGTTTTCACCTCACCTTCCTCCTTGCAACTTTGATTTTGTGCTACCCCTCATTGTTTGTTTTGTTTTTTGAAAATGTTTAAACACTTTGTCGGATAACTCGGATTTCTTCTGTTATGGTTTTACATTTTGTAAACTTAATTCTTTAATTACAGCGAGCTTAAACGCCACTTACGGAATAACATCACAAACTCACTTGTCAATACAAAAAGTTTTACTAAAATTTTTTCCCCGAAATGTTGTCAAGAAAACCTTACTAAATTTCCCACGTATTCAAAAAATTGTTAGTCGCATAAAAGTGCAGAAACTAATAAAATTAAATGTGAATCGGACTATAAATATCTAGTCGGAAATCTTTATTTCTTTCAGCATTATGGCGTTAAACTCATTGAGACCCATAAAGTCACATATGCAGAAACTTTATCAAACACATGCTCTCAACAAACAAATATATGTGTGTGGAGATGTGTGCGCCTGCATGAGGAGGATGGCGACTGCGTGGCCTCCTGGACTGCAAAACATAAAAATTGGCCCGATAAGCTTTGACGAATACGTATGTTCGGGATTAACTAAGGGAATCCCAATCAAAGCCGCATGAAGAAGCGCCAACCAGAGCGTTAAACGAAGAATGAAAGCACATAAAGCATGAGGCTAATAAAAAAGCAATATATATATATGCATTATCTTTATTGTGGTTAGATAACTGTGCACGCATACAAGCACATGAAGACTTGAGTGTATAAACAATCGAACTAAATATTCAAACGTGTAAGTGTGTGGGTGTGCGCACCTACTACAAATGGGAATCATATGAAAACCAAAATATAAAATAGACATTGTTGTTGTAACAAATACAACCAAAATGGACGGCATTTAGAGAATCGAGTATTGGTGAGACATATGTTGCATATACAAGTGAGGTGTAATGAAAAAGAAGAAACATCAATAATGATTAGAATGCGAAAATGAAGTATATTTGAAAATATTTTTCATGTTATGATTTTTTTCTAATACAAAAAATAAATATAATATATGGAACGCAGTTACCTCATACAAATACAAAATATTTTTTGCATAAAAAATTTTCAACATGTGGCAACGCAGAAAAAAGTAGTATATTAAAATTTAGTAATAATTAATATACTTCCAATTTATAAGTTTTGAAAATTCACTACTTTAGAAATCTGGCAACCTGGGTAAATCAATTATTGTTATATCAATTTTTATTTGCATGCTTTGAATTTTTTTTAAATACAACATATAATTTGATAGACAGTATTTACGTCAGACAAAAAAAATTATTTTTTTGCATAAAAAATATGCAACATGTGGCAACCCAATAAAAAAGTTATATAATCAAATTTTCTACTATGTAATATACTTTCAATTTCTATGTTTTGAAATTTGACTATTGTATTTTAAAAATCTGGCAACCTTGGTAAATCAATTAATAAAGTATATTGTATATACCTACATACATATATCAGCTTATACATACTTACTTTATATTTCTTAGCGAACATCGAAGTATGAAATTCGACTTATAATTTCGAAACTTAGCTGCATATTTTTTATTGCTGGCAACTCTCAAAAATATATCTACATAGTATATTCATAAGTAATAACAATAATAAATAAATCTGTTACGACTACAATAAACATACATATGTATTAAATTTAAATTAATTTCCATTGAACTTTTTCTAAAATTATATTATAGGTTTCTTGTTATTAGTATGGCAATACCATTAATTCACTCGCGAGCTTAGGTATAAGTTTTTTACCAGGCGGTACACATTATGACACGAAATTAGCCTCTTAACAAGGATATATTTTGTAATGTAATTTTAAATGGTTTAACTATTTTATAAATATGGCAACCCTGTTTCCAATTATATGAAATCATTATATTATATAGTTTTCTTAAATAAAATGTAAACAAAAAACAATATGTATTCAACTAACAACTTCAATAGTTTGGGAAAAAAAAATTAAAGTTGACCACCCTAGTGCAAATATTTGCATTGCGCCATACTTTTAATAGGTATTTAACTATAAAAAAAACAGTAGTATTGTACATATAAACCATTTTTTGCTTGGTATTGAAAAAAATTTGACAACCCTAAATTAAATTTATAACAAAACCAGAAAAAACGTTAACTTCAGTTGCACCGAAGCGATACAAAGGTTCCTTACAATAATTTGATTCATATCTAATTTCGTGAATCTGTAATAAAAAATAAACACTTTACTCCGATCGAGCAGTTTATATGATAGCTATATGACATTGTGATCCGATCTACACAATTTCTTCGGAGATTACATTGTTACCTCAGAAAATAACTCATGCCAAATTTCGTGAAATTTCGTCAACATAAAAGTTTCCCATACAAGGACTTGCTTCCGATTGTTCAGTTTGTATGGCAGCTATATGCTATAGTGGTCCGATATCAGCCGTTCCGACAAATGAGCAGTTTCTTAGTGAGAAAAAGACAGGTACAAAATTTCAGATCGATAGCTTAAAAACTGAGGGACTAGTTTGCGGACGGACAGACGGACAGACGGACGTGGCTAAATCAACTCAGCTCATCATCATGATGATTTATATTATATATACATTTTATAGGGTCTCCGACGTTTCCTTGTGGGTGTTACAAACTTTGTGGCAAACTTAATATAACCTCATCAGGGTATAAAAATAATATTAATATATACAATATATATTTTTTCTTCAAAACCGAAATTTAAAAATAAATTAAAATTTTATTAATTTTTTATTACTTATTTACAATAATTTAAATTTAGAAGTATCTACATATCTACTAGTGGCAACTCTATTAAAACTAATATATATATATGTGTCAAAAAGTATTCTTTAAATCTATTCGTCTAATTTTGCTATTCTATAAAACATAAATTTTCACTGATACCAGCTGTGCAGAGCTCTCTGAAATTTAACTAAAATTAAATTTAATTAAAAAATTAATTCAAATTTTTATTATAATTATAGTTGTCAACCATATGAGTTAAATAATGCTAAATCGATGGCGTTTCACATTAATAGGAACCTAGTTTTCTTAACGCACCCTTACGTTTTATTGTATATTTATGGGCATGTGAAAATTACTTTTTAAAAATATAAAAGTTAATTTACTATTACCTGCCACGGTTAAATACATTCTAATTTTACAGAAAATTTTTTTATTATATAAACATACATTTTGCAAAATTATATAAATGTGGCAACCTTAAAAATATTGAAATATTTTTTGCAAACAAAAGTATAAAAGATTTCAATCGATTATTTTAGTGAATTAATTTTGTAATAAATAAACATTTCGAAAAATTTCTTTGAGAATATATTTTTGAAGGGGTTACCACTGGTGCTTTCGCACTAGACAATGTTGCTATAATATACAAATATTTAATCAAATGACAATACATTTTAATAAACATTTTTTTGTGGTCCAGTGGCAACATTTTCGAAAATATTTTTTTCAGAATTTTCAAATAATTTCCATTTTATAGCAACTTTCATCAATTCCAAAAATTTACTTTTTTAATATTTTTGTGATATTTGGGGTTGATGGCAACTCTATTTTCACAAATTAATCAAACCAAATTATTAGTTTGCTTTATTGTTTTATTATTGCTTAAAAATTTAATTTTCCAGCTGATATTATAAGTTTTAGTCCTCTTAAAACATATTTAGAGTAAAATAACTGAAAAACTCGGAAGATTAAGCTTTAATAGATGCA